CCCCAAAACCCCAAAACCCCAAAACCCCAAAACCCCATTGTTTTGCAATATTAAATAATTAGATTTAAAAAATGCCTTCTGTTATCCAAGTTATCACCGAAGGTCTAGAATACGTCAATGATATTGACCAGTATATCAAAGAGGAAGGGATGTCAGATATTGGAACAGCTTATAAAAATATTGCAATCATAGGATGTCAAAGTAGTGGAAAAAGTACTTTGCTAAACGTTCTTTTTGATACCAACTTTGAGCAGCTCGACCAAAACTCGAGAGGAATGGCCCAGACTACCAAAGGTGTTTGGGCAGCCAGAAATTCAGAGAAAAACATCTTGATTTTTGATATTGAAGGTACTGATAGTAGGGAGAGAGGAGATGATAGGATGACTTTTGAGCAAACCACGTCACTCTTTGCACTTGCACTAGCAGATGTACTCATGATCAACCTTTGGACGACAGATGTAGGAAGATATGCTGCTTCCAACTATGGTCTTCTTAAAGTTATCTTTGAAGTGAACCTCAAGCTATTTGCCCAAAATCAGAACCAAAAGAAGCTCCTCTTTGTTCTCAGAGATTTCAATGAATATGAACACAACAGAGAGAAGATGATAGAATTACTAGAAGGAAACGTTAGGAAAATTTGGGGAGAAATTTATAAAACAGAAGAGTTTAAAGATAGCTCCCCTCATGATTTCTTTGACTTTGAGTTTCATATGATGCCTCACAAAATCTATCAAAAGAAAGAGTTTGAGGAAGCAGGACTTCAGTTGAAGGAAAAGTTTAATGTGAATAATCCAGACACTATTTTCCCCAAAACAGAATCCCTGAATGTTCCCATAGATGGACTACCTCTCTATATTGACAACTGCTGGACTTGTATTCGAGAACAAAAAGAATTGAACCTTCCTGGAGAAAGACAGATGGTCGCAACATATCGTTGCGGAGAGATCAAACAAGAAGCTATAGATAAAGTCCAAGATAGATTAGACAGTCTACAACAGAGATCTTATGAAGGAATAATTGATGACTACAAAGATCAATGTGGAAACATTCTTGATGAATCAATCTCTCATTACGACGACTCTGCTAAACAGTACTACAAGGAGACTTATGAGGGAGTCAGACTTGAACTCACAAATCATCTTATTGAGATATTGTACAAATCTTTTGTATCACAGCTCAAAAATCTTACTTTACAGGGGGATAAGAAGTTTGCTAAGGCTATGAAAAATACCTTCAACGATGACACAGTCACAGACACTTTCGCTGACACTTGCAATGGTTTATTCGAAGATACCATCAAGCAGTTCGAACAGAAAGCAAAGATGCTCTGATTTGATGACGATTCATGGAGGGATGCTATCAAACTCTATGGTAAAGAGTTGAAGAACAACCTGCTCAAAATGATTGAATCTGCTAGAGAAAAGCAGAAAGATAAATTGTTCACATTCTCATTGGAAACTATTGTAGACGAACTTGAGGAAGAAATCACCCAACCCATAAAAGGCCTGGAAGATAACCTCTGGGACACTGTTATTGAAAGGTATAAAAGTACTATATGTGAAGAAGAAGATAAAATCAAGACTATCCTCAAAAATGGTTTCGAAACTGAGGAGGAAGAGTATAATGATTTTTTGACAAGGCTTGAAGATAAAATCTACAGCCAGTCTAAAAAGATCATTTTCAAAACAGTTAGTGATCTCAACTCCCATCTCAATAGAAAATTCAACACTTACTTTAAAAAGAACTCTAAAGGCAAAAACAGGGACTGGAAGAAAATGTCGGAGGAGGAAATAGAAAAGCTCCATAATGAGTGATATTCTCACTTTGAAAGCATTTTTGATATGTTCAAGAAAATAGAAATTCCTCAATATGTGTCAATGGCAACACCAACAATGGGAGGATCTTTCGGTCACTCAAAAGAGCAATTGTTGTCGCCAAATGATATTACTCGCATTAAAGACAAATTCCAGGAGGATTGTGAGCATGCTTTAGAAGAAGCTATCAGATTGCATCACAATGTATTCAATAATGGTGTTCCATTATATTTTTGGGTTTTATTTATCTTCTTTGCCTATGATGATGTCTTCAGATGGCTATCAAGTCCAATACTATTCTATCCCCTATGATTCTTAGCTACTTTTGCAGGATTGATGCAGTCATTAGGCTTACTCTCTCCAGCAATCACAGCTGCAAAGGTGGCATTTAGTCTGGGATACTCACAATTGAAGAATGGAGCGTAATAGACATATTTTAACAGCTGTTATTAAAAATAAGGAAAATAATATAGTCACAGAGGGGTTTTGGGGTTTTGGGGTTTTGGGGTTTTGGGGTTTTGGGG